TGATCGTTGGAATTGAATAGACATAAACATAATACTTCGATAGGAAAAAGGGATTATCATCAAATCAAAGAAAGAGAGAGAGAGAGAATCAACATAAACATACTCACCGGTAACACTATGTCCGGTAATAATTCTCACCAGTCAACACTTTGTTCGGATACGTTCTCATCGGACAACACTATGTTCGGTAACAATTCTCATCGGTCAGCACTTATAATATAAAAGTTCAATCCGGATGTTAAGTTGTCCGATGAGCATCCTCACCAGATAAGGATTGATCGATAATCTCAATCCGGTCAACATTGGGTGTCTTTACTATTAAACTGTTCAACACTTGGGTGATGAGGTGCCCAATCTAGAAAACTCTATGTCCGATAAAGGGTATTCACTGGACAAGACTGTGTCTGATAAAGTCCTCATTAGACGAAGCATAAATAATAACCAACTCCTCACTGATCAAGGCATGACCACTAAGGGCTCTCATCGGACGGTACTGTGTTCGAAAACAAACTCTTATTGGATCATGCATTCTCAAGAAAATAATAATATTCAAGAATAAACCAGTAATTCAAAACTTATAAGGTATAATAGTAAGGAAAATAGTAAGAAAAAGTTATACGTAAAGTACATGTCCCTTGTAGCTATTTTGGGATCTTTTTTTAGTGATATAGTTTTTACTATGTAAGTTTTCTCAAGTTACAAGTTTAAGAAAAAGTACAAGAAGGAAAACTGAAACTGAAAGCATGTTCACTGACTGAAGTTTTTCAGTGAATGTAAGAGCTTACTGGAACTCATAGACATATGTCCCTATTACTCTTTTCAGGGATATTTTTTAGTGATACTGATGAAATACTTATATTATTCAAAAGGAGGAATACAAGTGTTACAACAGTACATTCTAGACTTATTACATATAAGTTGTACACAAAAGAAAAAGACATAGAAAGATAAGACTTATAATGAAAGATAAGATTTACAAGATAGAAAATTCTAACTAATCCAAGTCGCTGAAGTTGATATAACCAGGTACTTCTTCTCCAAGCATCTTTCGACGTAGAAATCCTTTTCTGATCTTGCAGTCTATCATCTCAACATAAGGTTATTGTCCAACCAATATCTTAGATAATCAAGATGTTCTATAGGACAGAGACGGAGCTCAGACACTCTTTGAAAATTGTGTTTGCCATCATAGTTAAGGAACATGAATCCAAACTCAGGCTTTAGGTGCATAGAGTTGGGTGTGTAAGGACCCTTCGTTGGCAAAGATAGGTTCAGCATAGAGATGTTTGGCTTCTTCGAATCCTTTAGGACTCCCTCCAGGGAGTTCGTTCCTTAGAGTTGGTCCATCATTAGGATCTGAAGAATTTCAACTTCCACCTTTCTTCAACGTCAGCTTTGTAGGTACAACAACATATTTAGACATCTTCTTGATCAGTTCGCTGAGGATGTCTTTAATTATCGGCTTGTGTCTTGACTTCGAGTACTAAATGGCTTGGCAGATTTCCAACCATTCGTCATAGCCATATCGTCCAAGTTAGGCAGGGTACTCGATGATTGAGTCAAGGTTGTCTCTGATGATATGCATGAAGATAATCATTCCACCATCTCTCCTACGACCACTGATTGTGACGTTAGTGATGGGACGGGGACTGATTCTTTTGTTAAGGTGACCTTCACTCCATTTCTTGTCTCGTGCATTCAGCTTCATTGCTTTTTGACGTTCATCTTATGCAATTGAGAGCAATTTAGCTTGGGCCTTGACAACATTCACCATCTTTTTAGACATTTTCTTTGGAAGAACTTGAGAGGCAAGATACTTGGCCAGCTTGAGGCTATCCTCAGTCTGTTGACGTTGAATTTAGAGTTCTTTCTCAGCCTTGAGAGCTTCGAGTCTTTCAGCTTATGTAAAGAAATAGAACTCACCACAATTAGAGGTACGAAGAGGAATTTTTACTCTAGTTTGGTCGAGTGACTCCTTAAGCTGAGTCATCTGTTGGTCGCCACGAACACTAGAAGTTGGGTTTTCAGGTACCCATTCCTCTAGACGACCATAGGTAATGGAAGGAATATTAGAATAGAATTGATAGAGAGAAGTGACGACGGCAAACCTAGAGGATTCAATATATTGTTTAGGATTGATAGGTTTGAAGAGAAATTTCGTATTTCCTTCTTCAGCAACACCTTTGTCTTTGCAGGAGGTGTTCTGGTTCTTTGCAGAAGTCTCTTTTTCTTTTTCCTTCTCATTCTCCCTTGGGATATTGATCCCTGAGAGAGACTCCTTTTAGGGCGCTAGCTGGTTTGTTGTGGTATTGAATGGTGAAGTCGTCGTCATCGTCGTCTTCATCATCATCACCACGAAGATCTTTTCCAGCATCAGGAAAGGAAAGAGGATCATCTTCATCATCATCATCATCATCATCATCATCATCTTCATCATAATATTCATCTTCCTTATCACCAACATCAGTTGCAGAGGTGATAGGAAGGTCTTCGTCTTGAGCATCAACTATGATGATATCATCAATTTCCTCAGCTTCAGCTTCATGGGAAGTGATGGCATCAGCTTCATTTACTTTAGCTCTTTCAACTTGAGCATCAGCATCAACTAGTGTTGTAGGAACAACAGCAGCTAAGTCTTTTCCCCACTCTTTGTCATTAGCAAGACGAGAGGTGAGGTCATCAAGACTTACAACAGCGATATTCATTCGTTGTTCAATCTCGGTCAGAGATTGAGCTTGAAGAAGACCAATTTTGAGCACTTGATCCAGCAATAGGCGATCCTCAGCTGTTAAGGAGGGTGCATGAACTGGCACTGGACGTTGAAGAAGATCCAGTATTTGCTCAAACATCTCACCATGCTTGGTAAGTTGAGCATGCATTTCATCGGCTTTGCCGTTTAGAGCATATATAACCTCAGCGTTGGTGCGTACATCGGCTTGCACCGCAGATAGTAGTTTCTCCACGTCATTGACTTCAACTTTGATGGCTCGAGGTCAGAGGAAAGGTCATCCCTGAGAGGCATGTCTTTATGGACTTGGTCCATTTTGATCAAGACAATCTCTACTACCTCATGAGGCCCCTATTCTCGGGTTGGGCAGTCAGCTCTTACTAGCAAAAGCTTGCGTGAGCAAGTGCACAAAATCCTAGGAATCGAATCAGGGGTAATAGGCGGATGGAAGCAAGAAAAGGACTGGCGTTTTCTTGATTCATAGCTCCCGGGAGAATCAGCATGACATCATCAGCCATGTTGTATTCTTCTTCCATGGCTGGCAATTCTTCATAGAAAGGATCTGAAAAAGAAGAGGTTTGAGCATAAGATAGCTCAGGGTTAGAAAAAATAAAGGGGTAGGTTGGTAAAGTACTTGAGGGGTCATCAGCACCATACTCAGGAAGTATGACTACATTGGGAAGGTTGTCGAAGAAGGTGACATCAAAGTAAGCAGAGTTACATCAGAAGAAAATGCAGCCGATCTGTTTACCAAGCTCTGTGTACTTGAAGTTCATTCGTTCCTTCCGCCTATTATGGGGGAAGAAATATCCATGGGCGCATTGAGGATTGCGTGATGACACAGAAACGCATGGCCATGCTCGGGCTGAGATGATAGATGATCAATAGTACAGTCTGTTATGTGGTCAACATGAATCTCGATCAAGAAACATAATTTTGAATGTTTGATTGACAATACTCCATGTCATACATTCAACAGGATATCATAGAATGAAGGGATATTGGATCACTTATTGGGGTTGTTATTCTTATCATATGATTTTTAGAATATAGTACTTGTCATCGGGATGGCATACCTTATGTTAATTTATTGTACCTTACTAGGATTCACTGTGAATTGTACGAGTGGGAGTTTGTTGGAAATAATGTCCAATGTCACAAATGAATTTAGTAAATAAATTCCATAAGTCTATTGAGGCTACACATAGGGGTGAACAAAAAACCGTCAACCCGCGAAACCTGCCCAACCCAAACCGCTAACAACCCGATTAAACCTAACCGCCAAACCGCTAAACCACCAAACCGCTAACCACCAAACCGCTAATTAGAAGGGTTGAAATTGGGTTGGCATAACGTAACCCAACCCAAACCGCCAACCCGCCGCTAATGTATATTTTTTTTATAAATTATGTGTATATATATATATATGTGTGTGTGTGTGTGATATTTACAAAAATTAACAAAGTGTTTCATGTTTGTTTGAAAATTTGGTATTAAAATTTTTAGCCCAATAATTCTTAAGCCTTCTTTGACTTAAATCTTATGTGTTACTCTTAGCCCAAGTACAAGCAAACCAACAGCCCAACAAAAATAACAATTAGATAATTTAGATTTAGAAATTAACTCAATTAGATAAACACAACCCTACCTACCGTCTCCTTCAGTCCTTCTCCTACGTCTCTACTCCCTTTCTTGCTTGCTTGCGGTTCGCCGGTTCCACCTACCGTCTCCTTCTCCTAAATCTAATCCCTCCGTCGCCCGTCTCCCTCCGTCGCCGTCTCCCTCCGTCGCTGTCTCCCTCCATCGTACTCGCAGCAACTCATCAAGTAACCACTAAACAGAAATCGTCCCGTAAGCAAGTAAGGAACCTTCTTTTTCAATGCAATTGCAGTATTAATTTAAGAATTTAATTGTTCATTGTAGAAGAAAATGTTCATTGTTGGATGCTTAGTCACTTAGCTATTAATTTAACTGTCAGTATTTAGTTTAATTGTGTGTGTATTTCTGTTGGTTTATTGATTTATTTTGTTGCCTATTTTGTTGGTTTATTTTTCTGAAAATGTGATCTTAATTGGCGATGTATAGGAGCAATGGAAGATACTCCTAAATCTCCAAAAATCGAAGACAATGATGAACCAAACTGATCTTAATTGATTTATTTCGTTCATCTCCTTCAAGGTTGCAAAAGTTTAAATCTTGCGTTGAGAAAGAAAAAGTTGATTACAAGGGGTGGTTAGTTTTAGATGTTCCTACAAGATGGAATTCTACTTTCATGATGTTGAATGTAGCTCTTAAATTTGAAAAGGCATTTGAAAGGTATGCAGATGAAAATGACAAGTTTTTGAGTTATTTTGAGGAGAAAGAAAATGATAAGAAGAGGATTGGACCACCGAGTTCTAGTGATTGGGAGTGTGCTTCTATTTTTGTCAAATTTTTGTCCTCTTTTTACGAAGTTACTTTGAAGTTTAGTGGCACATTGCACATAACTTCCAACAACTTCTTTCATGAGCTTTGTGAGATTGATTCTCAGTTGAGTTACTTGGCTAGTAACAATGGTTCATTGTTATACACCATGGCTACTAAGATGAAGAGTAAATATGACAAATATTGGGGTGATCCAGATCGCATCAATCCCATGTTGTTTCTGGCAGTTGTACTTGATCCGAGGTATAAGTTGAAGTATTTGAAGTTTTGTTTTGAGCCCTTATATGATGCTCAAACTGTTGCTAAGCTTGTTGTTAAGGTGGAACAAATTCTTCATCAGTTATATAATCAATATTCACAAGGTGGTAAAGATGGTGATGAGGTTAGTTACTCATTTTTTAAAATTTAATTATGYATGTTAATATGTTATCGTTTGTTGAGTTTATATTCATTTTTTTTTTGTATAGGCTATCAAACTAGAATCACCACCAAAGAATGATTCCAAAGAATCTCAAAGAAAAAGATTATTGGAATCATTTTTGCAACAACAACAAATGGACGTGCCGGAAAACATGAACGACGTTGATAGATATTTCGTTGATGGATCTATCAATCCAAAAACTCCATCATTTGACGTATTACTTTGGTGGAAAGATAATACTAATAGGTATAGCATTTTTTCTATGATAGTTAGAGATGTTCTTGCTATACCTATATCTACTGTAGCATCTGAATCCGCCTTCAGTACTAGCGGTCGTATTTTAGACTCATTTAGAAGCTCTTTGAGTCCAAAAATGGTGGAGGCCCTTGTATGCACACAAAGTTGGTTGAAAGAGAACAATAAGGGGATTCAAATAAGTGAGTTTTTAGATGAAATTTCATCTTATGACTTTCTTGAAGAAGGTAAACTTAATGATGGTTCTTTTTTCATGCTTATATAGTTACATATTCTTAATAATTGTTTAATATTGTTTTTGAATTGTAGACAAGCTCAAGGAGAATGCAACATCGGAGTCGGGAAGGTCAAAGACGGTTGTACTTGATTGAGCATTTAACATATGGAAATGGGAAGTCTATTGCTCGTATCAAACTTTTGATTTTCGAAAATTGATTTCAAGACTTGAGGATTTAGGGGCTGTTTACTAGGCTCTAACCGGTCAGCAATACTGACTCGGTCAGCAGTTAGATTGTTTACCAAAATACAAATCTGACCGAGAACTGACCGAGGTACTGACCGAGAACTGACTGAAACAGCACGAAAATCATGCTTACCCGGGTCAGATATCCACTTTCCATGAATGCCCTCTTTTTCACAATTAGGTTTTCTCCCCCACCTCATCGTTCCCGACTCATTGCTCCCCACCCTCCTCCCCTTTCGGCCGTCACTTCTCCTCCCTCCCCAGCCCTGCTCGTCGCACCTCCTCCCTCCCCAACCCCGCTCGTCGCACCTCCTCCCTCCCCAGCCCCGCTCGTCGCACCTCTCCCCTCACAGCCGCTCATCGCACCTCCTCCCTCCATAAAAATAGTTGGATTTAGAGCTCAATTTGTAGTCACAAAAGTAGGAAAACACTCAACAATGACGGAAAATGGATCTTTATCGCCAAAATCATAGGGTAAAAAACCCAAGAATTCAACAGGAAACAAAGAATGAATCATAACCCACCTCCTGATAACTCCATAAAGATGCTAATTCCTCCATTCTTTCTGTTTCTTCCGTCTTGATTGTGGGAAAAGAAAACAAAATCTTGTGGGGGGGAGTTCAGAGAGAGAAGGGTGTGGCGTCTTTGTTGCCTCTGGCTGACCCACCATGGTCCTGTTTGCTTTGTACATAAGAACGGAGAGAGAGAGCACTCAATTAAATTAAGGAGGTGTAGGCAATGGAAATGGGACACCAGGGGTAGATAGAGATGGAACACCAGGGGTAGATAGAGATGGGACACCAGGTAGATAGCTAACCATAGCACTCAATTGTTTTTTTTCTTCCATTAAACTATTAATAACAAAAATAATCATATATTATTTAATATATAATTACAAATAGGGTTATATTGGTCATTATATTTATGGTAAGCACTTACCAAAAACATTTGGTAAACATTCTTACCCGGGACAACACTTACCGGAATAACACTTACCCGGGTCAGCACTCTTACCCGGACAGCACTTATCCGGTAAGATTTGGTAAACAACCCCTTAGTCTTTATATATATTTTTGGATGATTGTAATAACTAATGACTTTGTTGGTATACTTTTAGTATTATTTATCATATTTCATTTGACAATTTTATGAGTTTTAGTAACCCGCCAACCCAACCCAACCCGCCCTAACCCGCAAGGGTTGGGTTGGGTTGGGTTGGGTTATACTTTTGAATGGGTTGGGTTGGGTTGAGATTTTTCAAACCGCCGTAATTGGGTTGGGTTGTAAAAACGTCATAAACCGCCCAACCCAACCTGTGTTCACCCCTACTTAGCCCAAATTGGAAAGTAAGAAACCTTGGGGACTAATTTTGTTAATTTTAACAATTAATGAGTAAATAATAGTTTGATAATTTATTTTGGTAAATTATTAATTATTAATGGGTTTTAAATTGTTTAAAGAGGCTTTAGAAGCCTGTTAGGTTTTTAGAAACCCGTTAGGGTTTAAGCCCAAAACGCAGGTATTTGAACTTAACTAACCTAGAGATAAACATAATAATTAAAACCCTACACAAAATTGCCTCTCCCTCATCTCTCTCTCTCTCTCTCCTATCTACGGCCGAACTCAACCCCAAGGGATTCTTGAGGTCGATTTTGGTGCTCCAAGCGAGAAGGTTTTCTTGTTCCGGTTTATGGCTTCGTGTGCGGACTGGTAGAGGGATTCTACGTTTGATCCTTAATTGTCTTGATCTACAATCGTGGTACATTTGTAGATTTTATTTGTTGCTTTTATTACATAAACGTGTTCTTCGGTTTCGTTATTACATTTCTTGTTTCCGGTTTTTTCATATAAAAATTTTGATTTTTATCGTACGTAATAACTAACACTTTCTTCTTGTAAAATTGAACGTTTGATATCTTTTGTGACTGCTCATGTTTTGGAGTGGTCTTGACTTTGAATTCAGGATTTTTGACACTAAGAGGTTTTTTTGTCATGATGGTGCTTTCATTGAAAGCTAGCTTCATCTTCGATGCGCATATGGGATAGCATCCTAGCTCTAACATCCTCGAAGTTTGTACCAGGTTTTTGGTTAAGTCCAAATATAACTCTAAACTATTGTCTAGATCATGCTTATAAGCTTTAATTGTTGTTCGAATATCACAATTGTGAATACCAATCATTTCGGAATTGAAACAATTAAAGTAATTTCTCACCGACTCTCCATTCCTCTGAATGACATAGTTTAAATTACTAGGCTGCTTCTTTATTTCTATGACTACTAGCAAATTTTTGGAAGAACTGGTTGACTAACTCAGCAAATGAGTGGATTGATTTTGGTTTTAAATTGATCAACCATTGCAAAGCAGCACCAGTGAGTGTTGCTCCAAAACTCTTACACATACACACTTCTTGATGGTGCTAAAGGATCGACATTGTCCATATAAGTTGCTTATATTGAGCGACATGCTCGTTCGGGTCCGTCACTCCTAAGTATTTTGGAGTGAAACCGGGATGTTGTATCTCTTAGAACGATAGAATCAACAAAAGGCGATGCTTGGAATCCCATTGGAGGTTCCACGTCAACAAGAACGATAGCTCCTAAAATTTGGATAATAGTGACAACATCATTTCATTTTGCTCTTCTAAGTATTTCAAGAACTTTACGATGGGATCATCGTAACAGATGTCGTTGGTCATCATTGGAATTGATACCAGAAGAGGGATGACACTGAACCTTGAGTCCTAAGACCCAAAGTCTCATAGGGAGTCAGTCACAAGGTTGATTATTTGTCATCACTAGACACAGGGATATTTGAGGCGGGATATTTGAGGCGGGATATATTGAAAACATAGGGAACAATGGCATTAGGAAAAAAGTATTTGTAGGTATGGGAATCAAAGTGATAGGCATTGATGGGATTCTCATTGTAGGTGGCGGAACAAACTTCATATGTTACGTCAAAGGTAGCCATGGAGGAAAACGTACAATGCTTATTGCAGGGGCACCTACAGGGTTAAAAGTTGGATGTCCCACATAATGAGAATTCATGGGATTGAAAGGAGGTATCGCTGATGATCCAGGATTCCTCAAATTACAGACTTCTTGTTGTGCCATGCGATTCTACTCATCCAATAGACTGATATGCCGACAAGCAACTTCCAATTTCGGTCTCATTTGAGACAGAACATCATGATTTGCTTCGTTGCTTGCCATGTTGTGAGTTCCATATTCATGTAATAGAATAGAAATCTAGAGAAGAAAGATCAAGAACATGAGTATGGCTTCAAGCTTCCATATGTATTTCATTCCAGAGAAAGTTTTAGTTAAGCTCAATATAATCTATTAAGTGTGTTATGAAACTAACAAAGACAAAAGCTATTAATACTAAGGATCAAGGGAGGTCACAAGTGACTCCTCAAGATATTCACACAAAAAGCCCTTTAAACTTGATACAACATTTTAATCCCAACACATGTTTCTACAAGTGACAAAAACTTGACAAAGATCGTTAAAAATAAAGATGTTTTTCGAAGAACTTCTTTAGTTTGGGCCCGATGATTGACGCCAAACAATTTGTGCTTAAACTTATTTTATAAAAATAACTTAAGAGATTTAACAACTAAAGATTGTATTCTTCTATAAACACATGACAATTGCAAGGAAATAAATAAGATGCAAGAATTTGGTGATGCAAAAAACCTCTGTAGTGGGTAAAAATCACAGACGACAATAAAAGGTTGTCGGTGCACTAATGACGTCAAACTGGGACGTCATCCTTTGTGTGAAAATGGTCGTAAATACAAAGATTACAATATGATCATAAATAAAAAAATCGTGATTTTGCTTGAGATCTTCAAGAATGTTCTGAGAGAATTTCGCTTGTATAATCCGTATGCTGCTTGTGTAATTCGTATGTTTCTTGTGTAATTCGTATGTTGTTTCCATGTGTTCTCCTTTATGATAATCTTCGTCTATATAGGAGTCATCCTCATAAATGTGTCTTTATGAGTTTAGATGTCAGCAATGGTCTCCATATTTAATGTTCTTGAACGCTTGTTTTCAGTTATGTCTGTTAATCATTAAATATGACAATATATGCATTAAACATTAAAAAAAACGCTTGCTTGTCTAGATTTAGTAGCAACAAATGTCATTAGAAATATATGATAGTCAATGATTAGGGGCGACCAACAATATGAGTATCTTTAGTTATGAAAAATGTCGTACGATTGTCATCAAGAGTGATGACCGTTAGTTTCAAAGTCTTTGGTCGTTAGTTCTTATCTACAACATATGTCTAGTCGTGACTTTGTCACGTCATTCCTGACTTTGGTATTTTTTTACCCAAATAGTTACCATTTTGTGGGTAACCGAAAATATTCTGTGTAAAAAAATAACCAAATTAGAGAAAAACAAAGCTGTAAGTTTCTATTAAGCACAATCCATTTACAACAAAATGGATCTCTCATACTCCATAAGCTTCCTTATCACTTCGGGTTTTTTATGATGGCACATAATATCTTTCAGCACTCCACATTTGTCGAGTCAAATGAGTAATGGTGAATAACATTGCCTCGTTAAAAACATACAACAAAAAGAAATATAAGATGAAGGAAATAGTACAACACACCCATTTCTTTGCAAAATAGAAGTTTCATTTATTCTAATATTCTCTTTGTTTTGTACATTAATCCTTGAAAACAGGGAAGCAAGATGATACTTAAACTATTGCATCGCCAAAATCTTACACCAAGAAATAAAACCTAATAAGATAAAAACAAGGAAATAGGCAATATACCAATGTAATATTTATAGTAGATTCTCCCTTTTGTCTACTACTCCTCATGATCCTGAATATTGATCAAGGGAGTTTGTAAAGTCTTCATATTCCAATACTTTTCATATAT